GGGCGCCGCTCCGCCCGCTGGTCCGCGCGCGCCAACCGCGGTCCTCGCTGTGGATCTCGGCCTCAAAGCGGGGGCGGGGACCCCCTGCGGGAGCTCGGGTGCGGACCGGCGCAGGCCGGTCTCCCTCGCCGCCAGGCCGGGCTGAACTTTCCCTGCAGCCTTGTTAAATCCGAGCTTCGAGCAGGGATTCCCCGATCTGAAGCTCTCTGCGCGGGCATTTGGCCTGCATCAGGAGCTCTTCCCCGAAGCGTGCCTTGTGCTACCCGTCACGGCCAGGAGCCGATCTTTCCTGCTGGCTGGAAATGGATCCGCCAGGACTCAGGCGCTTGGGCCTCTCCGCTCGCTGTGTTTTCGTGTCCTGGCAAATGCAGCACAGTGGTAAAAATTCCTGCCAATGGGGTTTGAAATTGGCTCTTCAAAACACATTCATATGTAAAGTATAAAAAAATGTTTAGGTGACATTCTCCACTTTGACAGATCAATCAAACCTAGCTTTCCCAATAGCTCTACAAGCTGAAGGGCCGTAGGTAACTTGAGAGGTACAGGTAAATTTAGATGACTTAGGAATTTCAGAAAGTGTTTCTTGAGACCTAATTAAAAAGCCAGTTTGGGGGTCGGTCGGGTGGAAACTTGGTGTGATTTCTAGGCTTTCTGAAGGGGCTTTAGGTTGTTGACTGGATTATCTGCATGCATGTATGCGTGTTTAATGTTTCCAATATTCCGTGGTTCTGAGTTGACATAAAGTTGAACTTATGAGACTTGGAAATTGAGAAAAGACTTCCTTATACAACTTTTTTTTTAAGATATAAAAGGAATATCTCCTATAAATCTCAGCGCCTAATGTAATTCAGCTAAATGGAATGTAAATCGTGTAACTACCTCGGAAAACAATTTAACACAATTTAGTAAGTTTGAGGTTGTGTATACTTTTCCAAGGGTATAAAACTTAAAGAAAGTAACAAGTACAAGAAATGTCAAGAACGCACACAAAAGTATTGTTTGTCACAAACAAAAATTAAGAAGCAGCCTAGATATCCATCAGTGGGTGGACTATTATACAGCAGTGAAAAATGAATGAACTAGAGCAGTATGGATGAACTTCACAACTATGTGTGAAAAAAGCAACCTGTAGAAGAATTGATAATGATAGCTTTTTTTTTTTTTTTTTTTTTTACATTACCCAGACATGCATGCATATGTAAAGTATAAAAAAATGTATAGGCGAAATTCTCCACTTTCACAGATCAGTCAAACCTAGCTTTCCCAATAGCTCTACAAGCTGACTCTGTGTGCCTCCTCCTATGGCAAAATAAGATCACATCATCACCCCTGTAATATTTTTACCAAAAATATCTAAGCTTGGTCTAGTCACATGGAGACAATGAAGAAATCCAGATTCCAGGGACAGTCTATCAGACATTGTCTCTTCAAAAAAGTCAGTGTTATAAAAATACAAAGATGGGAAATAGTTCTAGTTTAAGAGACAGGAGATTAACAACCAGATACAATGTGTAAAGCTTGATAATAGCTTGGATTGGACAACAGTTATAAGAGACCTTTTCCAGGACAGTTAGGTACATTTAAATATGAACTATATATTAGATTAATTATTGAATTTTGAAATTGTTAGGTGTCATAAAAGAATTGTGATAAGTGTAGGAGAATGTTCTTATTCTTAGCAGAATAAATACTTTACCTTCTAAGGTATTGAGGGATGAAATGCCTTGCTTGTCATTTTCAAGTGGCTCAGGAAAAAAAATTATAGTATATATAAAGCAAATACGGTAAAATGTTGGCAGTAGGTGAAACTAGGTGAATTATATTTGGGTCTTCATTGTATTACTATTTCAACTTTTGGTAGGTTTTAAAATTTTCAAAGTAGGAAATTCAGAAAAAGGAAGAAATTCATAGGAGTAATCATCACCAAATTTAGTTAATTACATCATAGTAATATAGGGGTAGGGAGGGGTGCACAGGGTCTTCAGCCGTATTAATAATTTCTTGAGATGGGTGATAGAGACACAAGTTTGCATTGTAATGTCATTTATACTTTTAAAGTCAGTTTGCAATTGATGATTTATATGTTTATATCTTTTCCAAAGTAATTTGTTATAACATGTGCGCCTCAACATGAGGCCTGTGGTCATGGTCATGGGCTTTGGAGTCTGACAGACATTGAAATCTTGACTTGATAAGTTTATAGCTAATATAATAACAGGTTATCCTCTCCAAGCTTCATTTCCTTCATCTACGAAAAGGAGATAATGACACCAAATCCACCTGGTGGTTGTAAGGATTAATTTATGCTATAGATTTTTTTTTAATATATCTTTATTGATTTCAGAGAGAGGAAGGGAGAGGGAGAGTGAGATAGAAACATCAATAATGAGTCATTGATCGGCTGCCTCCAGCACGCCCCCTTCTGGGGATCGAGCCCACCACCCGGGCATGTGCCCTGACCAGGAATTGAACCCCAATCTCCTGGATCCTAGGCCGGTGCTCAGCTGCTGAGCCACGCCAGGCTGGGCGCTGTAGATGTTTAATAAAACTTTCAACACAGTGCCAGGTGAGTACTCAGGATTATTAGCTGTTTTCATAAGCACTGACAATAATTTTAGAAAGAAGATTGGTTTTTCTTATTTAGAGAAGAAAGAATAAAACACTTCAAAATCATAGTCTTTCTCTCTTGTTTTTAAAGAAAGCAACAGATTTTTTTTTTCATGGTCTTTCAAGTTTGCTTCTAATTTTTTTTTCTACAGGTTCTTGAGTCCTGAATTCATTCCTCCAAGAGGAAGAACAAATCCTCTGAAATTTCATATAGAAAGAAAAGATATGTTAGAACGGAGAAAAGTGCTCCACATTCCAGAGTTCTATGTTGGTCAGTAAGAGCTGGATGCTATTATTATTATTAGTGGCTGGAGGGTTAGTTTTCTTGGCACAGAGAAGATTGTTTTTCGTATATCTGGGTTTTGTCCATATGAGGTACTTATTTCTAATATTATACTAAAACCTTTAGGAAGTTCTGAAGTTAACTAGAAATGCTATCGTATGTTTCTGCATCCTATGTAAAAAAGTTCACTTTTGAATTCGTAGGAAGTATTCTTCGTGTTACTACGGCCGACCCATATGCCAATGGGAAAACCAGCCAGTTTCTGGGGATTTGCATCCAGAGATCAGGATCAGGACTTGGAGCTACTTTTACCCTTAGGAATACTATTGAAGGCCAAGGTAGGCTCCATTGCATTTTTTTAATTTTCTGGAAAATGTCATCTCAGGGTTCTGTTTTGTTTTCTGCACTCTGGGATAAGACATCTATAACTTAAAAGTGCAAGGGGGCTCCAAGGGATGACATGGACCCTGTGGTCTAGGAATGGTATGAAAATTGAGGTACAGCTGATGCTTTGCTTTCTCTGGAAGGCTTCTTGTATTACAGGGGACAACAGCCATTAGAAGTAGACTTTCCAAACTGTGGCAGCATCACAGGAGGAGCCAGGTGACTAAAGCAGTGTGGGCACGTTCATTTTAGGAGCAAATAACACTTGAGAAAATTATAAACATAATGATGTTCTTATGCGTTACTTTCTCCTAAAATGAATGGGCCAATTTTTATTACAGGATCAGTTTTAAGAGTCACCACAGCATCAGTTTTAAGAATCACAGATATTTTTTAAAAAGGCAAAATTAGATTTGCTATGCCTAATAAGGCAGAGGAACAGGTGGTAAAATGTTAGAAAGATTATGAACCAGAATGGCAGGAACAATAAAGTTTTCATACTTAATGTTGTGTACTTCATGGTCTCCAGCAGCGAAGTGTTATTCAAAAGAAGTTGAACATAGGTGAGCAGTTCGTTGCCTTTTATCCTGTAATGACCTGGGGTGCTGTGCTTGCAGGAGCTCAGCAGGAATTGATTGATTACAGAAACTTGTGCTTCCAGGCAGGTCCTATGCTTGGAGAAGCCTTGTCATAGAAAGATATGAGCACGAGTATGAGTCAGACAGTCCTGTGTTTGATTTTCTGCTTTAAAACTGAGATACAGTAATAGTTTCTCCCTCCCAGGGTTGTGGTCAGGTGATTGTGATGTGGTACAGGAAGTGCTGGACACTGTACTGAAAAGTGTTAGCTCCTTCTCGACATTCCTTACAGTACATTTTGACTGTCACCTGCCTGCGCCTTCCTTATCCATGTCCCCTTTTTTGGTGCTTCTTTCTCATCTGGTAGCTTTAAATACCACCCATATGATGACCATTCCCAAACATATATCCATTTGGATAGCTTATAAGGATAAAGCAAGTTCAAAGCAGAACTCTTTTAAATTTCCCTTCACAATGTGTTCTTTTTATGTTATTTTTCTATTTCCATAAATGGTACCACTCCCCACCCGTTTACTTAAACCAAATATAAGAGTTGTTTTTCATTCTCTTTCACACACCCAGTAATTCATCATGTTTTTATGGCTCAGTCTCCAAAAAGTATATTCCAGTTTTGTCTATTTCTCCATCTCCATTGCTACTACTCCCATCCTTGCCACTACCTTCTCCTGCTCCCAACTCTGAAGTATCGCTGGATTAACTCCTGGCTCACCAAGTTACTATGCTCCAGACAAATGGGCCTTTTCTGGTTTTTGAAACATGGCAAGTTTGTTAAGACCCCAGGGCCTTTGCATTTCCCATTCTTTCTGCCTGGAGCATTCTTGCCCTCTGTAATATCAGTTTAAATGTTATCTTTTCAGAGAGATTTTCCCTGACTGTACTCTTTGACGCTGGCACCTCTCCCATCAAAATATCATCACCCTGTGTTGTTTTCAGTATATGAAGTTACTTTGTTGGTTTGTTTATTATGTGTCATCCACTAGAATGTAAGCTTTATGAGAGAAGAATCTTACCTACTTGGGTTTTGCTGTGGACACAGCTCCTAAATCAGTGCCTGAACCAGAATAGTTGCACAGTAAATATTGGATCAAATCCTGGTATTAAAGGTTATATGTTAACATAGATCATACATTTTACTATTTATCTCTCTCTTGGGATTATTCCAGGAAACCTCAGAATACACTCTTGCCCTTAGGATTTGATGATACAGATGATGTATGTTAAACTATTACTTGTCCTTAGCTTGTTTCCTGTGGAAGGCTCCAGAGTGTTAAAAAACCTAGGGCATCCTTAAGAGGGCTTCTAAACCCAAGTTAGAACTTAAAAATGTCCTCTTTTTTGCATCATTAATCCCGTTGCTCTTCATGTAGAGGATAGAGCTTTATTTAGGTAATTGAGAAATAAACTGCATGATGGTGACGAATTGGCTCCATTTTCTCCAACTAAGTTAATACTATCAGAATTGAAGAGGTACTGACTCAGTTTATTTATAGAAGATATCATTCTTTTGACTTTTTCGCTCTAATTCATGTTTTATTTTTTGATCTATGTGGACTTCAGTTTATTTTTAAAATTTTCAATCATCTTTATTTTAAAGATTCAAATTTATGACACATTTCCTATGTGCAAAACCCTACGCTAGTTCTTTTACGAAATAGCTTTCACTGTAGTGGGAGGCTCGTGCAGGAATCTGGATTTAGACTTAAGGATATGTTTCCTTCTCTTCGTAGGTGTTGAGATTTGCTTTGAACTTTATAATCCCAGAATCCAGGAGATCCAAGTGGTCAAACTAGAGAAGCGGCTGGATGACAGCCTGCTATACTTACGAGATGCCCTTCCTGAGTACAGCACTTTTGATATGAACATGAAGCCAGTACTACAGGAATCTAGCCAAGAAGTTCCTGTTAATCAGGTATGAGTTGTACAGTTGGAACTAGAAGTTCAAGTATAAAATAAGTCATCTTAATGAAAACTTTTAGAAGTCTGCTTATGACTCTCAGCCTAATTTATTCCTTTTTTAAAATCTTCCATAGCTGAAAGTAAAAATGAAGCCTAAGCCCTGGTCCAAACGCTGGGAGCGTCCAAAATTTAATATTAAAGGAATCAGATTTGATCTTTGTTTAACTGAAGAGCAAATGAAAGAAGCTCAGAAGTGGAGTCAGCCATGGCTTGAGTTTGACATGATGAGGGAATATGACACCTCAAAAATTGAAGCTGCTATATGGGAAGAAATTGAGGCATCGAAAAAGTCTTGATCTGAAAATGTCTTTAGCTCCTTGCAGAAGATATACTGACGCTCAGTGTATTTTTTAAGAGACCAATTNCTTGATCTGAAAATGTCTTTAGCTCCTTGCAGAAGATATACTGACGCTCAGTGGATTTTTTAAGAGACCAATTTAATTTCATATATAAGGACATAGTCATTAAATCAACTAAGCATTCATTATTTTTTAGTACTGTTTTAAAAAAAATAAAATTAGCGCATCAGTTTATTACTTTAAAAAGAGAAATATACATTCCAAGTGGTTCCGTGTCTCTTCTGTTACTGGAGGCAAAGCTACAGTAGAGTCAAACTATTACAGAATCCTCTTATATAAGCCTGAAATCTGAACAGGGATGTAGGTACACAGCCCTGAGCAGCTGGATCAACCCCATCAAGCAGGCACAGCCCACCCTACACCTCCAGTCTAGTGCCAGGGTGACACAGAATGTCTTATCTCAGTTGGGTTGGGTGTCACTGAAGTTTGCCATCCCCAGTCACCTAGTACCCAGCCCTCCTTCCAGTGAAGGATATGGAGCAGGGGCAAAGGCCAGTGGCTGGACAAGACAGGTGGCACTATGGCAGGACATAGTCACCTCGGGAGGCACTGGGGGCAGAGAACAGGGTGGGAGAGAAGGTATCTGACCCCAACTCACCTGGGCCTTCCAAACCTCTCCTCCCCACTCACAAATCCCCCTGAACCAGTCCCCCGAGGCCAGACCAGGAGACCACAGCTTTAGGGGCTCTGGCTTCACAGTCATTGCCAGGTCTCCGTGTCCATTACCTTTGGAGAAGACCTGTCAGTTTCTAAAACCTAAACCAGACCATGTCTCTTCCCTGCTTAAAATGCTTCCAGAGCTTTCCATGGGGTAGTCTACTGTAAGTAGACCCCAGAGCCCTGAATGAGCTGGCAGCTGAGGGCCACCTCTCAGCAGCCCTGAACCCAACGCTGTGTTAGGTCGGGGCGATGAACACTTTCATCAAAACCATCAATAAACTTATTTTGCGATCCTCATGCCCCATTTTAAAGGCAGGGAATATGTAATGCATTTTGGAAGGATGTGGAGATCTCGGTAGCAGATGTCAAGAGAAGCAGGACAGTGCAGTGGTTCAGACCTGGGTCCTGGAGCCAGACTGGGTTTCAGTCTTGGAGTCCCCATGCTGTGTGGCCTTGGACAAGTTGCTTAACCTCCCTGTGCCTCGGTTCCCTTACATACAAAATAGGGCTAAGCCTCTACCTCACAGGATTGTTGTGAGGATTAATGGGTGCTTTGAAATGTTTAGGAGAATGTTTGGCACCTGGTAAACCAGTGTGAAGTATTAATAAAATTTATGTGTTTATTAAATTAATAAATAGATACAAACAGACTTGACTTCCTAAGCTATATTTGATTGCATCCAGCCCTAAGCTTGTCCCCACCCTGTGACACACTGCCTCTCCCCATGTGAATGCATACCCCACCCCACCACTCTGATTCTGGAAAGGAAGCCTTGAGCACTGCTTCTGTTGGACACACATCTGCAAGCTTGATCTTTCCCCTCCCTAATGCACAACCAGGCTCACACATTGGCCTTTCCATCTCTTGTGTTACTTTCACACATTTGGTCTTTAAACGAAGATCAAGTTCACTGCTCATTAGTCAACAGGAAGAGCGTGGAATCCATTCCTGAACGCCCTGCTATCACAATGCGGTTATCACAATGACACCCATGCGCTCTCCTTCACTAACCCATAGATGGCACCATTTCCTCTGGGCACAGAGGGACTTTCAGTGACTTAGAGTAATGTGTTTACTATGTGTGTGTGAATCAACCTCCTTGGAATGCTGTCGGACTGGGCGATTGTTATAGTAGAATCCTGGTCTTCCAGGGACTCCAGACCCCTCAATAAATGGAGCTAGTAATCCCAGCAATCTCATCTCTGTCCCTTACTCCCTAGGCCAGGGCTCATGAGACCTCAGTAAATGTATAAAGTTGCCAGCTTCTTCCAATAGAGAGAGGTGATGGCTTCACGGAAGGGAGACAATGGGGGCCTTGTCCCTAAGGAACTGACACAATCAGTCTTGGTCTTCAGGACCTAAGCAGAGTGGAGGTGGCCTCTCTCCCACCAGCTGGTGACTGTTAAATACACCATGCCCTGACTAGTTCCATCCTGAGAGTCTATAACCTCTAGAAATGCCAGGGTTCCCTGTTACGAGGAGACCTCGGAAACAGGAGTCAGGCAGTAGTGGGGCTCCATGTGTCCCCCTCCACCACAGCTGTTCTTGCCAAGGTTATGGTGAAATGACCCTTTTGTTTCTGTGTCCCAAAATTCATTTGTTGAAATGCTGTGGGTTGGATGGTATTAGGAATGGGACCATGGTTTCCCTCTCCACCATGTGAACACACACACACACACACACACACACACACACACACAGAGAGAGAGAGAGAGAGAGAGAGAGAGAGAGAGAGATGGCTTTCTCTCAACCAGGAAGAGGGCCTTAGCCAGAGCCCCACCATGCTGATACCCTGACCCCCGACTTCCAGCCTCCAGAGCTGTGAGAAATAAATGTTTGTTGGGGTGGGCTGTTATAGTAGCCTAAACTAAGACAGTTTCCCAATTCAACACCTGAAGGCCTTCACTGGGCAGCTTCTACTGTGAAATGAGTAATAACTCCCTCTCCTTTCTTTAGAAAACTCTCTTAAAGCCAATGAGATGACAGATGACAAAAAGAGCTTTAAAATATCTTGGTGATGTCCTACAGAGCAAGAAACAAATTTTACATTTTTTTTAAAAAGATAACTCCTACCATACTCTGTTGAGTTGTCATACAATTGAGGAAAACTCATTTTAGTGATGTAGGTAAAAATCAGAACCTATCCAGCCCCTCCCTACTTTAAGGTATTCCCCACAAATATGAAGAACATGGCTGGGAACCCCAGAGATCTCAGGAGGAAGAGTGGCCACTGACATCGAGAAGAGGCACAGGAGAGGGATGCCCCATTGAGGTAGGTCTCATTTTTCTTTTTTTATATTGGGCTCTTTGCATAGGCTCAGGACTGGACTTGTGGCGAGGGAAGAAGCCCGATTTATTTCCGCTTTATTGTAACTAGGCAACCATAGCAAGTACTTTACAAATTGTTTCAATTGGATGAAACCACTTTGGAATTAATCATAAGAAAAATCTTGGAAAAGATACAGAAGGTAAATCTAGTTTTCTGCTTGTTGTTATGAAGCATGGTGCTTACTTTTTAAGAATTAATTTGATAATAGTTTGGTGTGGAGGGTGTCTTCAGATGATACTTAGGAGGGTGGTGAATACATTCAAGAGTAACTTTCTTTTTGCTCACCTCAGCGCACATGAAAAATGACATTTTTAGAGCATTTCTACCAGTGAAGAATTTAAGGAAGTGAGAATCATGTTTTACAATAGGAGGAGCCTTGAATGTATTTTAAAAGGTGAAAAATTGAAAAACTCAGGATTTACTTCTTAATGGATGAATAATATTCCACCGTGTGTGTGTGTGTGTGTGTGTGTGTGTGCGCGCGTATACCACAATTTCTTTACCCATTCATCTGTTGATGGGCACTTAGGCTGTCTCCATGTCTCGGCTGTTGTAAATAATGCTGCTATAATCTTTTGACATGGGGGCACAGATAATCCTTTGACAGTGTTTTGTTTCCTCAGATATATATACCCTGAAGTGGAAATGCTGGCTCCTATGGTAGTTCTATTTTTAATTTTTTGAGTCGCCTCCATACTGTTTTCCATAGTGGCTATAATGATTTACAGTCCCTCCAACAGTGCAGATGGGTTCCCTTTTCTGCCGGCATTTGTTCTCTCTCATCTTTTTGATGACTGCTATTTTCACGGGTGTGAGGTGATACTGGGGTTTTGATTTGCATTTCCCTGATGATTAGGGATGTTGAGCACATTTTCATGTACCTGTTGGCCATTCCTATATCTTCTTTGGAAAAATATCTATTCATGACCTTTGCCCATTTTTAAATTGGATTGTATGTTGTTTGCTATTGAGTTATACGAGTTCTTTCTCAATTTTGTGGCCTGAAATATGGCCTGTTCTAGAGAATAGTCTTATGTGCTTGAGAATACTTATTCTGCTGCTGTTGTATAGAGTGTTTTGTATATGTCTATTAGGTCCATGTGGTCTCTAGTGTTCAAATCCACTCTCATTGATTCTTTGTCTGAATGATCTATCTATTGTTGAGAGTCGGGTATTAAATCCTCAACTTTTATTGTATTGCTGCTTATTTCTCCTTTTAGCTGTTAGTTTTTGCTCTAAATATTTAGGTGCTCTGATGTTGGGTGCATAAATATTTATAATTATTATATCTTGATGGATGGAGCCCTTTATCATTATATAATGGCCTTCTTTGTCTCTTATCATTTTTAAAGTTCATTTACTCCTATTTTTTTTTTGTTACCATCTGCTTGATCCCACAACCTTTTGGTGTACTGGACAATGCTCCAACAAACTGAGCCACCTGGCAAGGTATCTTTTTAAAATTTTTATAAAAATAGATTTGAGCCAGAGGATATGCCTGGAAGCAAATCTCAACAGACTGAGAAAAACACCTTGAGTATGTGTGTCTTGAAGGCTAAAGCGAGTCTCTTGTAGGCAGCATATTGTGGGATTTTTTTTTTTTAATATCCATTTATTTTACGTCTTTCAATGTATAATTTAACTTACTTATGTTTAAAGTAATTATTGATAGCGAAGGACTTACTAGGGCCCTTTTGTTAATTGTGTTCTGTTTTGTAGATACATTGTTCTTTGCTTTTTATCCTGTTTTTTGTGTGTATTTTGCTCTTTTGGTATCAGCGTGCTTTGACTTTTTAAATCATGTTCTTCTGTGTAGTTACTACAGGTTTTCCCCCTGTAGTTATGAGGCTTACATAAAATTTCTTAAAATTGTAACAGCCTATTTCAAACTGATAACTTTGATAGCATTCCTCAGATTTAGACTTTACTTCTCCCTCTCTCACATTTTAGGTTATTAATGCTATATTTTACATAATTTTTATATTGTGTGTCCAATAACAGACTATTGTAGTGATGGTTATTTTTACTACATTTGTGTTTTAAGTTTTAAACTAGAGCTGTAAGTGAATTACATACCACCTTTTCCATATTTCAGGATTTGATGATATATTTATCATTTCCAGCGAGGTTTACACTACCTTGCTATGTTTTTATGATGTTAGTGCCCTTTGCAACTTGAACTTCCTTTAGCACTTACCGTAAGGCCTGCGGAGTCCCCACGGGAGTGCCTGGGCTGTGCAGCTTTGCAGGTGCTCCCAGCCGGGGTCTCGGTCAGGTGGGCCTGGAGCTACACTTAGTGGTGGGTTGGACCGTGAATCAGCAACGCTGCGGGGCCGGGGGGAGAGCCAGCCCCAGGCGCCCTCGCAGGTGCTCCTGGTCGGCTTCCTGGCCACGGGGCAGGAGCGCCCTCAGCTGTGCGTGGGTTAGAAACTAGCCCTGCTCGCGGGGCCCGAGGGAACCGGCTCCAAGCCCGGGGAGGCTGTTTGTTTCTGGTCTTGGCTCAAGCCTGCACCCCGAATTCCCTGAACAGTGCCACTGGCTTTGCTCTGCGGGCAGTCACTCCGCCTGCCGTCCTCTGCCCACCGTTTCCGTGCTCTTCAGCTTCTAGGTATTCCAACAAGGTGCTCCCAGGGCAGTGGGACTGGAGGGGGACTCCCAAGAAGTGACCGACAATGGGGGGGAGCCGGAGGCCCCCATGGCTTCTCTCTTTGCACTGGAGGAAGTGTGGGCCCAGGGCAGAACTCTTGGTTCGGTGCTGCCCTGGCTGAGGGAGGGACATGAGAGCGGTGTGTAGCTGCTCCTCTCTCCCCCCAACGCAGTCTGTCTTGGTCTCTGTGCGGGGTGTGCTTCAGCTTCACCCCCATGTTCTAGGATTTTCTCCGCGGTGTCTTGTTCACAAATAGTTTAGTTGTTTTGTGAGCAGAGCAAAGTCTGCAATGTCTCCATTTTGGTGACTTCCTACCATTTTAAAGTTGCCTTTTTCTTGATTGCTTGGTTGCCATGAACTTCTGTTTTCGAGTTCTGAAAAAGTGGGATGTGCCCGTTTCTGCTCATTTTTCAGTGTTTCTGTGGGAGGGCAAGGTCCTGGATCTGCCTACTCCATCGTTTTGCTCAAGTGTGCGGTGTTTCTAAACTTTCCTTTCGTGTTGTGGTAGGACAAGTACTAGCTGAAATGAAATAACTCTCTGAATCTTTTGTATAATTTAGAGTTCAAAGTCATGTTTTTCCTATTAGAACTAGAAAACGATGTATTTAAGTTTTCGGTTTTCAGGGATAGGTTAGTATATGCCCCATTAGAAGCTCTCCTATGTTCGTTCCCGACACTGTTCAAGGCACTTCATGTCTCTTAACATTCACAAAAACCTTGTGAGGTAGATGCTTCTACTCAATTTTACAAAAGAGATGGCCTCAGAGGGTTAGGCAGCTTGTCTAAAGTGGCACAGGAGGTAGGGGTCAAGGCTAATGGTAAGACTCAGGGTGCCTGAGTCAGAACTCTGTTAAAATCAGTTTAAGAAAACATCTCCAAACCATATCAGAATATGATGGGAAGGCCAGTGGGATGTTAGTGTTTTGAAAAGCTCCCTATGGGATTTCAATGTCCAGCGAGTTTTGAGAACCACTTACTTACTTAACATCCTGCCTCCTGCAGAAACAGCAGAATGGAGGTGGAATTCAGGCAGGTCATTTTGCTCTGAATTAGGCGGATAACCAAAACGCCAAGTTACTGTTTTCAATGAAGGCAATAGAGTGACCAGTGTGTCCCAGTTTTCCGGGAACTTCCCCAATTTTGGCACTGGAAGTCCTGCATCTTGGGAAACCCAATTCCTGGCAAGCCAGGATGGCTGGTTACGCTACCAGCGACTTTTGTGAAATTTAGTTACCTTTAACAGCCTTTTACGATTTAAAGATCCTACGTGTTCCTGAAGATTGGAGCACAATAAGTGTTTTTTCTATGTATTCCTTTAGCCTTAAGAAACCCAAATGTGTCTAGGAACTTTCTGCATTTTTCAATGAACTATCAGTGTTTCTAACTTTCTCACTTCACAAATCCTTTAGTTTTGCACGAATTTTTAAAGGGTGCTCCCACTACCCCCACCCAGGCCAAAAGAAAGAGTGCCATTTATTAATCTTTTAGGTCCAAATATTTAAAATAAGACACATGAATTTTAAAAATGCATCTTTAAAACATAATTACTAATGGCGATGTGTGTATCTGTTAAGCCTTTATGCAATTTATCAAAGCTGGGAATTGGGTTGGGCACTACCACTCATTTGTCTTTTTAGCGTAGACTTGATTACTGTAGCTTTACAGCAAGTCTTGAAATCAGATAGAGCAAGTCTTCCAACTGACCTTAAGATTAGTTTGGCTGTTTTAAGGTCTTTGCATTTCCACATAAAATGTAATTTTAATACATTTGAATCAACCAGTCTTTTTTATAAGGCTGATGGAACTTTGATAGGGATTGAATAGCTATAAACCAGTTTGGAGAGACTACACCAAAATTTGACTTTTCCAATTCATGAACACGCCATTTCTTATTACCTAGGTTGAAAAACAGAAATCTCAGCAAAAATGTCCATGTAGAGGTCTTGCACCTCTTTCTAGATTTGTTCCTTGTATTTGATGTGTTTTGCTGCTACTGAAATGTTATTGTTTTTTAAATTTAAGTTTCCAATCGGATCGCTAGCATGTCCCCGGGCTTGTTAAATTTACTTATTATTTATGGTTGATTTTTTTTTTTTTTTGGGGGTATAGTTTTTTATGTAAACGACCATGTCATTTGTGAATGACGACTGTCTAACTCTTGTGCACCAATCTTTCGGCCTTTTTCTAACTGGTTGATTTTCTAAAGGATTGCTAGGAACTACAGAACAGTGCTGAACAGAAATGGTCAGAGCAGATAGCCTTGCTTTAATACTTCACCATTAAGCAGGATGTTACGTGTAGATGTTTTTGCAGATGCTCTTTATCAGAGAGAAATTTATATTCCCAGTTTTTGTGTTGGGAGAGGGTGTTGAATTTTGTCCAATGTGTTTTCTGTAATCACGGAGATGATCATACAGTTTTCCTCTTTATTCTGGTCCTGGGTGAATTATGCTGACTTACCCTCCTAGAACATACCCTGTGTGGTCATGATGTACTACCCTTTTTATACACTGCTAGTTCCAACTTGCTAATATTTTAAGGACTTTTATTTCTATGTTCATGAGGGACTGGTCTGTTATTTTCTTATGTTTTTCAAGTTTTGTATCACATATAGTATTTCTTAGGAGTCATCTATATAAATATTATTTTATCACAAGCCTAAGAATTGCAAAGGTCAACTGATCTGAGGTGATTATCATGGTCATTTTTTGGTTCCGAACAACCATCATGAGAAAAGTTTTTAAAGTCATTTAATTCTGTAAAAAACTCACATTCTTTATGTGAACAGAAAACTGAAAAAATCCAGGAAAAGAATTGAGATATGCGCTGAGTTACTAAGTCAAAGTTCTGTTTTTGCTCGTTATGTTCCACTCATTTCATCCATTTCACAGCGACAGGAAAAAAATCTGCACTGAGGATTACACAGGCGTCGCAAATGTTTTTGAATATCCTCAATTATAGTATATGACGGATAAAAATCTTGAGGTTCAAACTCCAAACATAATGAAACTTAGTTGAAAATGGCTGAACTTGAAATCAATTTGTAGTTTTGAAAATAGATCCAATATTTTCCATTCTATGACAAGCAAGAGAAACCTCTCTGCCCAAGTTGAAAATGTAAGGAGAACACACCCAATACATCTTTAATAAAAATGCTAAGTCAGAGGGAAGTTTCCAAATGTGTATGTACTTTAATAGTAAAAAAATTAAATTTCATATGCAAAACAATAAAATATGGCTATTTATGTAAACAAAACCACACACACATGCACTTGTAAATAGAGAAAAGGTCTGAAAGAGTAACACTGAAACGAAAATAGCACTGACCTCTGGGAACAATAATTGTGTGGGAATGCTAAAAGCTTTTCAGCAATGGCTTTAATCTTCTAGATGAGACTCTATTCCTGTATAATTTGTGTAATTAAAATAAACTTTAAAAAAACTATTCATCAAGTGAATCATGAGTCTTCACTGCAGTAGAAATAACACATCAATCTGTTAAAATATATGCAGCTTCAAAGCTAGGGTGACAGTGTCAGAGGCCTCAGGCTCAAATCCTACAATAGAATCATGTTTTTCCTGATTATCTTTTGGGCAAAATATATATTTAGGGCTGCCATTGAGTTATTTTACAAATAGATTTAAGAAATATTATTAGTGAACTCTTACTTTGAAAAATATTCTCAACATTAACCCTTGCCCCAGATTTTCTTAGTTATACAAATATTTTACCAGAAAATGAATCACATGATTTGTTATTTAAAATACCAGTTTCTTATCTAAATTTACCTCAATGACAAAAACCATAACAAAATAGTAATTACCTAACAAGTAATGACTTATTATACCAAAAATAGACACAGAATTAAAAGAAAAATGGCAAATGACACAGGACAGACTAAACACTGTTATCTTTAAATATATGAAGCTCACAAATCCATAAGAAAAAGACCAATAGACATGTCACAAAGAACTACAAATGGTCAAAAAACAAGCAATCCCACTCTAATAGCCCAAACACATAATTAAAATAAGATTTTTTTTCACTTATTAAATTTACAATGAGTTAAAAAAATGATAATACCTATTGCTGGGGGGATTCACAGGCCTCTCTCGCACCTGTGTTGGTACAACACATTGGTACAGCTTTCTGAAGGACAATTTGATAATTATTAGTTATCAAAGCCTTAAAAATACCTTAATCAGTTAATACTTAATAAATAATTCATTCCAATTAAGATTTCCATTTTAACTTATTTGTAAACAGAGATCATTAAAATGAAAAGAAAAGATGTTTTGTGGATCAGGGCATAACACAAGACTCACTAAAGCCAAAGCAGCAACAAGCAAGGTTTCGCCACCTCCTCTCTTAAATTGGAAAAGCTGCAACAAAAATGGAAGGGGAACTCGTAGCTCAAATTCTTAACTGCCCAGTGTGCTCAATTTCTGCAAACACACAGGATCAGGAGGGCAGCCCTTCCTGATAGAGGGAGTGGAGGGATGAAATCCGTGTTTTCCCCCCAAATGCTCGCCTCCATTACTAGGAATAAAGAGGCACTAGCCACTCCTCCACCCCCCAGCAAAGGAGCCGAGTGTGACTATACTAAAATCTACTTTAGTACTTTCCTATAAAGTTTACTCAAACTTGATTAATTAATGATTTAAGATGGTCTAGGTGATACTCTTCTATGAATGATTCCGCTTGATTCAAAGCTCTTATTTTCACCAGAATAAGAATTATTTCTTTGACTTCATCCCTGAAAAACAAAAACATTTTCCCCTTAAAAATGCAATGTATGAGAGCACAGTGGATCATCAGTTGTTTACCTGTAACAAAAACTTCACCTTAAGCCAGTATCTAGAACAGCATAATATATTCAGATGCTACCTTCTCCAGGTGATTATGAAGTTCCACTTCAGACTATTTCGTGGGTGTATCCTGCCACATTTTAATGTGAATGGCTGTGAAATGCAGAAAAGCACAGAGCAAATCTGTGGTGTGCTGCTACCAGCTCATGTGGGCTATTATGTGGGGGGTATTTACCCCACAGACATCCTCTAATGCCAGATCTGGGCCTTGTAATTTTTGGAGAGGTGGTTCACCAGAACAACACTGTCCTCAAGCCCCTAGACATCCAATGCTGTGAATGATAAAACAGGGATCTAGCCCCTGTTGGGTAAACACCAGGCTGCAGGCCTATACTTAAAAAGCACTAACCCTTTAAAAATGGCCAGGATAATTAAAAACATATTAAAAACATGCTTAATAAGAGGTTTTGATTTACACTTTTAATTCTAAATTTCCCTGTGCTATAGTTTTCTGGAAGTGATTATTTTGGAAGACATTTACATTAAAAAATATGAACTATATATATGCATGAGGTGTGAGTATAAAATAGTGATTCCAAAGGTTGTACATAAAAATATCTAGTAATTCTATGGTAATAGTCTCAACAGGTTCTTAAAAGTAGAGTAAAAGTACAAATCTTTCCAAAAATTGCTGAGAATAGAATCCTTGAGCTATGCTTATGGAGGGACAATTAAATATACATTACCTGAATTCATTTCTAGATAATTTATGTGCAGACTGCAGTAAAAACTGGATGAAGTTTTCTAGCTGGGGAATAGATGTTCTCATGGCAGAATTTTCAAACCATTTTTCTGGTAAATATGCTGTTATCTGTTAATCAAAACACATGGTTGGTTTTAATAATGATAGTTATCACTTAAGGACTTTAACATGATGCTATTTAATTGTCATGGTGAACATGCAGGTAAATTTTGAGAATTTCCCCTTTCTTTGTCAAAGGTTATAAACTTAACATAATTTACAACTAAACACCAGAAATGCCCACACAAAACACTTTTAGTTGACACAACTATAAAATATATACATTCAGTATTAGTTCACTAAGATATTGGGTGACCTAGCATATGATCTACATAAACAAATTACAGTTAAGGAATCAAGTAGGTAATTCAAAGATACACAGAGGAAAAAAAAATAGTTTTGATTTTCTTCTAATTTAATACATTGCTTTAAATGTCCATGGCAGCATAGAGTGTCAGTGCATGTGCATTCAATTTTTCTTTTGGAAAACCACCACCACCACTCATTATCACACTAAAGGTAATACATGACTTGGGGGAAAGTTTTGGTAAGAACAGAAAAATTTTAACAAAATAAAAGAAAAACTTTATAGCAGAAGGAAGAATAAAAAGGAGAGAAAAGGGGAGAAGGGAAAAACTTGAGGTCATACTATTCAAAGAAATCCTTGGACGAACAGGTTATGCTACAGTTGGTAAGATCAAAATCAGTACTTTTACAAGGTAAAAGGGGGAAAATGCATGTTTAAAAAATGTTAAATGAAAGTTCTAGAATACACTCTTTCTAAAAGAAATCTGATTGGTCAGCACTGAAAACACAGATGAGAGAAAAGATTTATCCCACTCCTAATCACCCTTTGCAATTACCCAGAAAAAAGGCAGACACACTGCCTGCCCAAGGCAGAGAGTCCTCCAAGTTTTGTTATGCCAACTGCATCTCTTTTTCAAGTTCTGAAACCAGCCCTCACTGGCTTGCATTGTAGTATCATTTGCACCTGCTTTCCCTTTGTTTTGTATCAAAAACCTCAATAAAAGTCTCATGGAACCTCACAGCTTTTCCAGAAAAGATCCCAGAACATAAAACTACATTGCCTTGGCTTGGTTTTCTAGCCACAAGCTGTGGAGAGAATGTCATGAGTTGTCTTCTCTACTTCTGCATAGCAACTCCTATGGTGAAATGACACTAAATGGAACCTGAAACACACAGCATGGACGATGATTTAAATTTTTGGTAGATAATGTAGTTAAACTACATGACATAGAAACCATAGCCAGAAAAATTATGGCTGGCTAGGATCTGCAACCTAGAGTGAGTGTGTGTATTTAAAATTTAAATTATAAAGTAACTATTTTCTCATATTCTTAAAAGTTCTTCAACAACATGACTTTTATCTTATGGATAGAAAATGTTTTTGGACATTAGGTTGTTTTTAATTTTCTTCCGTTATAAATAATGGTATAATAGTATTATATTCCTTGTACTTCACATCTGTATGTGCACCTTTGATTTTTAACTTAGGCTAAATCCCATAACACTGCTAAGTCAAAGTGTATGAATGTTAAAGGTTTTGTATCAATTGTGCCAAAACAGTCTCCAGGGTTGTGTCCCTCCTACAGCGCAGAGATTGCTTCCCTGGACCTCTGTGCCACACAGTCCAGCTGGTGGTGCCCCTGGAACGATATGGGGTTGCTGTTTCCCTGTGTTTATGATGGTACTGGGAATTATAATGAAAATAACAGCAATCAAGTTTGCCAATGCAACAGGTAAAATAATATCCTCACTGTACTATTTGCATTTCTCTATTAGTACTGTTTAGAGGTTATTTTTGCATATTATTTTTTGGTGAATTGCCTGTTGAGCATCGTTTGGCCATTTTTAACTGGAATATTTGAATTGTTTACTGATTTGTAAAGAGCTTTTTTGTATGTGGATATTAATCCTTGTTACATACGGCAGTGAGCAAAAGCAGGTTTACAATTGTAAGTATACGAAACAGAGTTTATTCTTGTATTACAATTTATTTCTTATTGTATTAATAACTATTAAGTTACTTTTGCCCACTCCTGTATTATAGCTTTTGTTTTTCAATTCACTTTCTTTTTAACTTTTTATTGAAGAAAAATTCAAACACGAACATCAGGAGAAAGAATAAGTAGAGTGAGCTCAATGAACCCATTTTCCAGTTTTAACAATGATTAAATAATCCTGATACCTTTTTGGTTAATGTTTTTTGATCCACTGAAGTTTTATGTCTTTATCAAGTCTATCTCTTTTTTTCATCATTTCTTTTGCTTTTATGTCCAGAAAGGACTCCCTTACCATCACAGTCATTTACCTTCTTAGTCCAATATTTTATTTCATTTTTAACACTTACTTCTTTATTTCACCTGAAATTTATGTAGGTACTTAACGAGAGGTAAGGACCTAACATTCTTTTAGTAAACAAGAAACCAGTATAATAATTTTTAAATACTGAGAAGTTGCTTTTGGGTTTCTAGTTTATTAAAGAGATTTGTTTGCTATTATGTGAACATCACAATTTTAATTATTTTGCTACAAAATAATTTTAACAACTGAATTTTAAAAAATGATAAAATTAGAATAATTTTCTACTAACTCACCTGGCTGCACTTTTTAACAACATCTGGCCCAGGCGTGGCATTAAGAAGAGCTATGATAAGGTAACGATTTAGCAGCTTCCCCAGTGCTAGCTCTCGCAAGGTATCATCTGGGAGGAGTCCATTCCAAAGAAGAATATTGCGAAAGAGCTAAAATAAAATGAAATGTCAAGTGACTATGTACCTTTTCTCCAAAGGAAAACTAAAATAGTCTCCAACAAACAAGTTGGTCAAACTTGTTTAATCTTTCACTACAAATTAGTTGGAACTGTCCATTTTAAAATCAATAAAAATATTTCTAAGTACCTGATACGTTCCAGCCTCATCCTATTTTCACTTTTTAGGACAACCACCCAAAATCCATTTCAAATAAACTTGCTGAAGCCTTTCAAAATCAATAATCTACTTCCTCAATCCATCCCCTCCCAGACCGTGGGGCCCCTGGATGCAAGACCCCTCGCTTAGTTCCCTTGATGCCCCTTTCTGATGCCCATTCTAAGTTTCACAGTTCATTTTACGGCTTCTCTGAAGACTCCACTTTCTCTGCCCACCTCTATGTCAGTGTTTCCCAAAGTCTGTCCTTAGCCTTCTTTTCCTGCTTCAGCCAATCTCAGAGGTCATCATTCATGACCATGGCTCCAACTACTACATGTGGTTTGACTCCCAAATCTCCAACTCAGATCTGTCCCTTGTAATTCAGACTCGCATACCCGGCTGCCTCTTAGGCCTCTATTTGGTATCTTCAGTTCAGTCTAAAACAGATGTATCTTCCCTCCCAGACCAGTTCTTCCTGTATCCCCTCCAGCGCCCTCAAAGAATGTCCTAAGTTACCAGGTGCTAAAGTCAGAAGCCTGGCTAGCACTCTGCATTCGTTATTAATTAGCCATCAAGTCCTTTCAATGGTTCAGCCTAAATACCTCTGAACCCCTCTTCTCCTTCCCATCCGTTACCACTGACTTGGCACTGACTTCGTCCTTTATCTTTTAGACCAGAGGTGCCAGCTATGGTTTGTGGGTTAAATCCAACTTACTGACTGTTTTTGTAGAGCTTGTGAACTAAGAATGGTTTTTACATTTTTAAATGATTGAAAAAAATAGAAGCAAATTTTGTGACATGTGAAAATTATGTATTTAAATTTCAGTGTCCAGAAGTAAAGTTTTATTGAAACAGCCATGCTCATTTGTTTAGGAACCATCCGGCTGTTTCTGCACTACAGCTGCAGAGCTGACTAGTTCAACAGAGACCACGTGGCCAAGAACAGTCTGGTTCTTTACAGAAGTTTATTTTCTCCCTCTATAGGAAACTGAATTTACTAGAAAACACTTTTATTTTTGCAGTTCTCTGCTTACCTTTAGAGCTGACCAAAATTGTCTTTCTTGGAACTTTGAATGTGGCGATGTTTTGTTTTCTACAGCACTAATGTGAAATGAAAGAGAAAGGAGAAAATGCAAACCACTGTTAATCTTTCAGAACCAGAGTTTAAAAAACTTTCAGAACCAGAGTTTAAAAAACTGAGTGCTGTTGTGTGTTTTTTTAACCAACCAAATTAAGCCTTAATGGAATATAAGTGGAGGTGCTCTGATTGCATCAAAATTACAAATGCATGCATACTTTGACCCAACAAACCTATTTTTGAGAATGGCTTCTGTAGATATACTTGCACAGGTACAGAATGTGTACAGAATGTCCACAAAATGGTTCACAGCATTGTTGGTAATGGTTTACCACTTAGATGCCCATCAGTGACAGTACATCTATATGACAACAAACTACTTATATGATGATCTCACTTATATGAAGATCTCAAAGATATACTAAGTAAAAAAAGGTACAAAACAATGTAGAGCTGTTTACAGTATACTTTCTTTGTTCTAAAAAGGAGGAGAAAATAACATTACAGCATATGTAAGTCTTCTTTTTTTATTTCATTTTTAAAAACTTGTTTATTGCTGAAAGTGTATTAATTGCATAAAGAAATTCTGGAAAGGTAAAAAAATTACTGCTTATTATTATTGCATGCACTTATGTACACAGTGGAGGAAGGTCAGGAGTAGGATGGAGTAAGACTTTTCATTTTAAACATAAAGAACATTTAGAAAAAGATACACTCATACTTTGAACCAAGTGAATATATTACCTGTCTAAAACATTAGAAAACAAACCTTAACAAGGCAGAATTTTTACACAGATATTTTTCTTAATTCAAACTGACCAGAAAGCTTAGAAGTGCCCTTCTTTTCTTTCCATAAAACTCTTGAGTTCTCTGAGTACACGCAGGGCAGCTTCAGCTCATGATTCATTACTGTAACTGATGCCTTCTTGGCAAATGTATGAACATGCATCAAATAATACTTATTCATAATTTAAGGTCAATACAGAATTCACAGATGCGGTTTCTGGCCCCTCAGTGATGCTCCAGGCCTTCTGCTGTGTTTCTTCTATGCCAGGCACTGCTCCAAGCACTCTTCATCTTCACAGTCCTTCCAGGTAGGCATTAACTTAATGTCCCACTTTACATTTGAGGACACAGAAAGGCCCAAGGTCATTATCTAGTAATGGTGAATCTGGACTCCAGAATCTGTGCTTTTAATTACTCTGCTATGCCACCTGTCATGCTCTTAATAATAATATTTAAAAAACAAACCTCTCTCCAAGTGCCAAGCATAAAACATGGTATATAGAAGGTAACTGAGCAATATTTGTTGAAATCTCAATTTGCATCTAAATGGGTATATGAATGTTTTAAATATATAGTTTCAGGTATTATATTCTTAATCTGTATTACATGATTAGCTATTTCAGACAATCTAGAAATTAATAGCTCTTACCTCTTTGGATACAGAGGAATAAAAACATCATCTTCTACTGCTTTCTTCATTCTTGAAACAATGGATTTAGGTAAATCCTATTATTTAAAAAATTAAAAGCATCAGTGATAATCATAGGTAGAAATATATTTACCAAAAGGAGTATTTTGTACACACCCAGAGAATCAAGTATTAAAATGTCAGTTGGGTACAAGAGAACTTTAACTTTGTTCATCCACGTTATTGCATGTCACTGTAGTTAGTACATTTTCCTTGCTGCATAGTATCCATCGCATGAAACTACTGACAGGACATTTAGATGGTTTCCAGTTTGGGGGCTACTATGAATAATGTTGCTATGAAAGTTCTTGCACATGTCTTTTAGGAAGTAGTGGTACTCAATTTATAGTCCCACTGGCTGTGTATGAGAAAACCTGTCCACTTACACCCTCACCAAAATATGGGTTTTTTGTTGTTGTTTTTTAATGTTTCTGGTGGGTATTTAGTCATATTTTATTTTTATTTTTCCGTTGAGTAATGTGATGTTGAGCACTCTCTCATGTTATTTGCCATTTGAACATGCCCTTTTACAAACTACCTAATTAAGCTGCCTGTCTACATATCTGTTTATTTATTAGGTCTACCTCTTTCTTACTGACTTGTAGAAGCCTTTTATATACTCTAGCTATGGGTCCCTGGTGGGTTTATTAGTGTCCTTTGATACAGTAAATTTATTTGAGAAACTCATTTTCTTAAATTTGTATATAAAAAATTGGAAACAACCAAAATATTCAATCATAGGGACTTTTAAGAACATCAAGTTATAGCCATCATTCATATTACATGAAATACTATTTAGCTAGTAGGCTGTAGTAACATATACATTTAAATATTTAGTGAGATAATATTAAGTGAAAGAAGTAGGTTGCAAATGTACATGTTTGTTAGGATTACAATTTTGAAATGCTGGATGAAAATATCCTACAATGGTATCACTTCTTGGATGAAAAAGATAAGGGGAGTTAAACAATTTTTTTTTTCTTGTATTAGCAAGATTTCTATAAGATACTGTTCTTTTAAATCCATATTTGAAAAATGAAAATGGCCTACATTAGATTGAAAGTTATTTTCTTATTTAAAAAAAATTTTTTTTTAAATCCTCACATGCTCAGAGTAGGGGAAACATCAATTGGTTTGCCTTCCATGTAAGCCCAACTGGGGACCCAACCCACAACCCAGGTTTGTGTCCTGATGGGGGATCGAACTGCCAACCCTTTAGTGCACAGGAGACACTCAACTAAATGAGCCACTCTGGCCAGGGCTGAAAGTTATTTTTTAAGTAAGTGACAATATGTGTAGCACAAATTAAACTGTCATATACTCTACACTAACCAAATTACTCATAAATGTAGAATTCAACTAAATATATTCTTTTCTTGAAAAGTATATCTAACTGAAGTCCTGTTTCTCATTCCACTTAAATATCTGTAACCTATTCCCTAAATGGCCAAATAGCAATATTTAATAAACATTATAAACAAAAACTGAATATGTAGGCTACTTTTATTCATGACACTTTTCTGTAAGTTTTACATTATTTTAAAATAAATTGTTTAAAACAAAAGAAAACCTAAATACATGTATTTTAAAACTCAGCTCATTAACTTTTCCAAGTATTAAAATACATTATTTGGTGAAAAAAAAGTTCTCGAAACAAGTAGACACACACACCTCTGCATATATCCTTTAAAACAGCTTTGAAAAGGCACTTAAAAGCTCCAGCTAGGTGTTTTTACATTTCTCTGTATAACTCTGGAGATAATCCTGGGTGGCTTGGGTGGATACTGAGGCCCTCAGGGAAGAATGAGGGCAGGTGCTCGCCATAGCAGTAAGTAAGTAAATTTATAGATCAAGTTTTGCTTTTGTGTGTGTTTGTGTATAGGGGTGGGTGAGACTTATTTGAAAAAGGCTCTGTTGATTAAAAAAAAAAAAAAAAAAAAGGTTGAAAACCACCAATCTATCTACACACCCAAACGAGGCCATTTTCACACTTCCACTCACTCGTTAACTAACCTATGCCTAAAAGCATGCAACGAAAGGAATCATCTCCTAAGGCCGCCCATAACTGTGGGCAGCTACTGCCTATTAGATTTCAGTTAACAAAGAAACAAACCTCTCTCTCCTACACCTTCCACTCCATGGTCCTAATTTACTTAGGATTATACAGGACAATTTTTAGCTCCCTTCATGTTGCTATATGTTCAAATCCTCTCCGTTCTTAGATCCCACCTCTAACAAACTCTTTCACTGCAGAAAGTAACTTCTCTCTCCTGCCTCTCTTTTGAAGTTTCATAGCACTTTACCTGGGCTGCTCATGGGGGGGCACTGTGGTCAGTGGGATGACGCTGGCTTTTAAGACTAATGAAGGTTCAAATTCTACTTCAAACTCAAGGTATTACTGTGAACAAGATTTTGAGACGGCTACTTCGTCTATAAAACGAAGCTATCACCCATTTTTTATAAGATTGCTGGGACTAAGTAGAAGGACACAGTTATAAGACGTAACAGAGTATATAGCAGGAATTGAGTGTTCTGACTTCCCCACTCCTCACTTCCTGTTTTAAACAATAGTTTGTGTTCGTCTTACTTCCACTAAGATTATGTACTTCTTGAAGGCAGAATCATGATGGAACCCCGGTCTCCCTCTTCTTAGTGTCCCTCCTTCATGATAACAATTTCAAGTGCTAAAGTTTAAGTGCTCAGAATATGAATATGACACACCTCCTTTTCAACCACTTTGGTTATTCTACTCTGGGTGCCCTCCAGTCAATCTCTTAGTTTACTTAAAATTCAACATAAAATTAATTTACTTATTTAACTGCATAAGTATACAACATTTTCATAAACAAAAAGAATGACAAAAAACAGTACTACAATAAAAGTTACAACAGACTGTCACCCAAGGCCTCTAAAAAGTTCCTCTTTATGTTTTATGTTTAGTAAAACTCAGTTCTAAATCATAGTGTGGTGATAATCTATCCTATTGAACTCTGGATCCTGGTCTTTGGCAGATTACAAATAATTAGTTAATATAATGAATGTTAGTCTAATTTTAAAATCATTGTTAAAGCAAGGCCACAATGCCACTAGATTTTTGCCAAAAGAACAAAGGTAATGAGATTTTTTAAATTTTCTTTTAGAAGGAATGAATTTGCTCTAATTCATTTATGGCTGTTCATCTCTGCAGGACCAATGTACATTCACAAACCTGAAGGACAGCTGGCTGGGCACGAGAACACAAATTAGACCACTGAACAGAGAAATAAGCTAGTAAGAATCAACACAATAATCTGGGTCTCATTATATGTATGTGTATCCTGTAATAATGGTTTCCATTCCTGTTATTCAGGAATATTAAAGTGTATTCTTTCATCTTATTATAAATAGAAAAAAATGGTCAATCCTAGTTTCTTCCCTTTTTTTGGTTAATCTTCACCCAAGGATATTTTTTCTTTTTAATTTTAGAGAGAGGGGAAGGGAGGGTAGGGAGGGAAGGGAAGGGGAGAGAGAAACATGGAACAGTTGCCTCCCACATGCGCCCTGACCAGGGCCAGGGATTGAACCTGCAACCCAGGTATATGCCCTTGACTGGAAGTTGAAGCTGAGACCCTCTGGTGCGAGGCTGACGCTCTAACTACTTAGCCACACTGGACAGGGTCCTAGTTTCTATAAATTAGAACTAAATATATTTTGCCCCCAAATAGTCTTCTAATGATTACTTTGTGCTTCTTCTATAAACAAAAATTTATAATAAAATTATACTGATTTATAAAGAAATATATAACTCTGGAAATTATTACCTGTTTGCCTTTACTAACGTCATTCGCACAAGTGGAATGTTCTTCAAGAATCATTCTGCAGTTTGTTATTAAACTTGTTGTCTGTGAGGTCGACAAGGGATCCCATATGAATTCTACAAAGTCTGAAACAAAAATTTCAGTGGTGCATAATTTACTCAATTGCTTTGCTTGTTACATATGAACAATTGAAGCTTTTTAGTAAAGACTACTGCCTGCCTTTTGTGGTTTAAAATGCACAACAATTACCATGACATATTTGCACACATCCTCCATTTCCTTGACCTTGGGGCTTTGTTGAAGTTGTCTGGCTAAACCACCCTTTGCTAAACGCACCTTGTCACCGAAACTGTGCTTGCAATCATGCAGCTAAAACGTGGCTGGAAAAAACTACACTTCAAATTCATCACCATGAAACTCTAGTGAACACTGAGCCACACTGGCCAGGGGAACAGTATCTTTTTTAAAGAGAAGAAATAAAGAGGAGAAAGATAAGGGGACAAGTTAAGGAAATGAAAAAAATAGCATGGAGTAGGGACAGAAGTGTGCCACTAAATAAATGACTTAGGAGTTATATGAGCAACGCTAATGTCGCAAATGCTAAAGGCCAAAGATTATCAACAGTTTGACAGCAAATCAACTGCAGGAACAAGTATTTGTTAACCAGCTTTAATTATAACATCTGTAACAGAAAGTAATGATCTTATACTCTGCCCAAGAATAATTTATCAAGACTACAAAGCAGTACCTGTAAGTCGAGGAATAATTGTTTTGTTGATGATAGAAGATAAGATTTTCTTATCAGAACTATCTTCCTTCTTTGATTCTTGCATACTATTATCCATAAATCCTTCTATAGATGTAAACCATGGCATCTGTTTTAAACCTATGGAATCAAACTTATAAAAAAATTATCAAAGTTATAAATAAATTCTTAAACATTAGTTTATTTTTAAATGGTTAACTTTTTCAGTAACCACTATAGCTTTCTAAGGATCAAAGGAGAATAATTCCATATTTAAACTCCATATATACAGCACTAGAACACCAAGGCTAGGCAGGAAGACACAACTAAGGCAGGATGTCTATGCAGTAAGCATGCATTTCTATGACAAATGCTCCAAAAATACCCACTGTATGTTCAAAACGGAACACACCTGCCGGTACTATTAGGAGCCAAGTATACATTTATAAGAATAGAACTTAGTAAGAGATATTCTTACTTATTTTTACACAAAATTCATTCTGGCTCCCTCAATTCTCATAGGCACAAATGTTTATTTTGCATGTGATTTAGCTTACTAGGCAAATAGCAAATGGCCAGTTATTATTATTCGCTGAATGAACGAACAGATTTCTGCTAGGCATAACAGAGTACTCCATTCAGCCTAAGTGGTTAACAACTAGGCTGCTGTCCCACCACCGACCTACCATTCCTGAGTAAGCATGGCGCCTGCACTATGAAGACTATGGCCTTGAACCTAAGGCAGAGCCCAAAGGCCTGGCGACTAGGGCAGAGAAAGAGGAAAGGACACAGCTCCACCTTCACCCTGTTAAATCTCTACCTTCAGCTCTCTCTCTTCCTAGAATTTCATTACCTCATTTCTGTTTGCTTACCAGGCATATCTAGATGGATGTCCTGTTATTATTTCATTATCTATAAAGTGAAACTTCCTTCAAAAAACCCTTTCCTTTTCTGAAAAGTCCCCATTTCTATTAACTACCACTGTTCTAATAACCCAGAATCGAATGTTGGGGTCATATTTGGATGTAGAGTGTAAGGTTTATTCTTAGCATTTTGCTGATTTTTGCTTCACAACACCTCCAGTAATCAACTATTTTTTCTCTTTCCGTTGTCACTCACCCTATGTAAGAAATTCATCACCTTGTACTTGGGCTACAGCAAATCCTTCCAATATATACCCCTACCTTTTATCTTCCATCCCTCTAGGTTAGCTTACTGCTAGGATTTCCCAAACCATTACTTGCATCATGTCCCTCTTCCCATTATTTGCCAAAACAAGTTCATATCTGTTAATTTAAGACCTGAACATCTGTGCAGTGTCTAGCTTCTGAATTCTGTTTTTCCCTATGCATTTTTACAAAATACCTTTTCCTCTCTCTCCCCTCATGTTTAAATCCTATATACCTTTCAAATCCCCATTAAAATTCTTCCTCCTCAATGCATTAGTTTTACTGACCAACTATTCCAAATATGTTATCTCCAACTTCAGAACTCCTGGTACCTATATTGATTTCCCAAGACTGTAAAATTCTTAAGGCCTAACATTACCTTTACCTTTTGAGTGATCTTAAACTTATCAAAAAGCAGCAGCTTAAAAAAAAATGTTTCCTTTACTGGTATTTAGTGCCACTCAACCTCAAAAATAAAGTGCAAATCAAGAAAAGATGGATGTAGATTATTACTCCAAAGCACCAACTACCAACTCCAACTCTGAAAGTGAGTTACTTTATAGCTAACCTGATAACAAGGGTATTTAAGTAACTACAATAAACCTTTGATTTTGTGGACCTTGATTTAATGGACTTCAGATTTAATGGACAACATTTTTGGTCCGTATGTCATATGTGAAAATTAACCTTGTTAATTTTAAAATGCTTTTAACCAAGATTTATAATTAAATTAACAGGTTATTTTTTGTTATTAATTCACTGTTACTTTTAACAAATTTTAGCAAACAGGCCATGTGTTGGGAAAAACACTGTAGTAATTATTAAGTAAACGTAAGTAAATATTACATATTTACAACTATAGTCTTCATATTTAACTCCAAGAATCACTGCTCGTAAACAATGTTCAGCAAATGATTAGCAAGTGATCATACTGCATCATACACTGTAACTGGTTTTGTTTTCTCGTGGACTGACTGTGTGTAGCAGTTTTAACAGGTGTGGGCTAATGTTCCGACATGTGCTAAGCCATGCCCCAGCTGTGTGCATTTGTTTACTCGAGGTGGTGATTGTACCCATTTACTAGACCTACTTAGTATAAATTACAGTAATATATACAGAAAACTTTTCTGTGAAATTAAACTTTTCATACTTAATTTTAATTACACAAACATGTCTACATTAAGAAAAACCAGGTAAACTAATTAATTTGTCAATTTTTTAACATACCCACTCTAAAAACCTATTTTATTATATAATGGACTTCTGGCTTTAATGGACACCCTCTTGCCCGAATTAGTCCATTATATCAAGGTATTACTGTAATGTGATCAAAATTACTTTTTTCACATGTTAAGCTTAAATACCTTAAGAGGATTCCAATCAATCAACTGAACTCGTATTAGGGGATTTAAAAGCTTCGGTATGCATAAACCAATGAAAGCTTCATAATAAGAATCAGGGAACTTTTCTCGCCATTGTTGAAATTTTAACAAAATATTTTGGATATTACAAAAATCATCATGCACATCTTCAAAAATCTTCTTATGATCTTGTAAAATGTCATCTGTGAACAAAATGAGTCTTTGTTATGCATTTTAAGTGTGCTTCCTATAAACAGGCATATATAACTATGTAATCAATGGGTTGAAAACTTTCCTTTGATATTGACATACAAACTAGTTATTAAAAAATAGCTTTAGTAATAACAGCAATATTATCAGTAATAAAATCTACCACTTATTGAGCCCCTGCTATATGCCAAAATATTACAAATACATTATCTCAATTTCACCATAACTACCATCCCTAAAAGGTAGGTGTTACTAGCTTAACTATATTTATTTATTTATTAAATATATCTTTATTGATTTCAGAGAGAGGGAAGGAGAGGGAGAGATAGAAACATCAATGATGAGAGAGTCATTGATCAAGCCCGAAACCAGGCATGTGCCCTGACCCGGAATCGAGCCCCGATTGCCTGGATCCTAGGTCGATGCTCAACTGCTGAGCCATGCCGGGCTGGGCTAGCTTAACTATATTTAGATACAATAAACTAGCAAACAAACAACATCAGATTTAGGGAAGTCAAGGAATCTGTTCAAAATCACACAGAATGGAGCCCCTCTCTAAACCCATCTCATAGACTGCAAAGCCCACAACTCTCAACTGTAGGTATTTTACCTTCTCAATGCTACAATGGCTTAACCACATTCAATTATTTTAAATTACAAATGATCATATAGAAAGTATGTAGTGGAGAAATGAAACAAAAAATGTTCATGCTTCTTTTATAAAAGAGAAAGGCTGAAGGAAAAAAACTATAAAGATGCAGTAATACAATGTTCTCCATTTTATTTCATTTTTTCAAAGGTAGGAAAGAAAAGTGGTTTCCCCCCCCCTGAAATTTTCCAACTATTTTATATAGCCATGTATTTAAGGGCAATCACTACAAAGCAATTCCTACCACTTCAATACTTCAAATAAAGACATATTAGAAACTTGGTGACTGACCCTGGCTTTTCTGGAAGCCAGTCATGTCTGCTGAAGATAGTTCATCATCACTAGATGTCCCTTCCTGATGATCACAATTTCCAGAAAGCACCCTTGCTTGTCTTCTTCGTGCCCTGTTTTTTTCAATAAACCGAAAATCAATTAGACAGACATACAGCTCCTGCTGAAAGTAAATGCTTTAAAACAGAAAGTCATAATTTATTTAAAATGCCCAGAAATACAGTATTATATTAGCACACAATTTTAAGTTAGTATTTTTGACATTTTAGCTTCATTAATCTGAATAGGTGTCTCTCCCTCTTTTTTCTTATAAGACATTCTCAATTAGGACATTCCCATAGGCTACCCAGACTTTGAAGAATGGGAAACAATATAATTAGCACTGGCTTCTGCTTAGTAGCAATTCTCAGCCTGATAAATGACATTTTACTTATTCCCTCTGACTGATCCAAATACACCAGTGTGTCTTTAAATTCCGGGACTGAGGGTTTAAATTATTTTAGTTAAGACTGCTAAACTACATTTTGGTTTTATGTCATTCTCAGAAATTAATTTAAGTTAGGGTTAATTACACCATATGGGTAACTAGACTTAAGTAGTGAAAAATACTTGCTCAATGGTGCTTTAAGTCTTCACTGTAGATAGCTACCTTCGAGATTCAATTTCTTCTAAAATCCGTTGAGTTTTTTCATCTATAGCCAAGCTTCCATTTGTTGATGTCGCAGCTTTGGCTGTTATCAAAAGAAATAGTGAAACACTTTGAAAACAAAAGTTATATCTTAGGTGTGTATACACATACGTATATATAAACAAACACGGATAACAGGCTTAAATTCTATATTTCATCATGCAATGAACTGCAATGTTAATTCCCTATCACAATATTAATAGGCACTGAGTTTGTGAGACCAAGAAAGTGTACCTTGGCTGGGGAATATAGTTCAGCACTTGAGGACAGTAATGAAATTCCTCTAAGTTTCTTTCCCTCATATTCTTTTTTAGTAGTTTTCACATTTTTTTGTCCCTGTAGCTAAATGCTGGATACATGTGCATTACCAATGTTATTCATATTATTTCCTATTTTAGCATGTACCATACATAATGCATGACCAACTAAATGTCATGTGTTTGAAAGTCATTTTGCTTTTGCTATTATTCCCTACTTGATGATGGTCTCATTAATTTCACTATCTCCTGACAACACCTTAATCAGAGGATGGCATCTCGGAAAATACAAAACCAGTGTGAGAACTAAAAGGTAGCATCCTAATCTTAAATGAGATCTTACAGACGATTCTATACTGATATCAATCAGCATTTCTTTAACCTTCATAACCAATCTGTGGAAGGGCTACAGAAACTTATAGATTTCTGACAAAGTCTATGAATTTGTCAACTCATATCAAAAGTCATTAAATGGTCATATAAATATTTTGTCTCAATACTAAGTAATCAGAAGTTGTAATTTTTATTTTTTAGTCTTAGGCTTAATTTAAGACATTTTAAAGTGCTAGTTCTAAATGTTCTGGGGTTTTTAGAAGGGAGTCAGTTAAAGATCAGTGGGAAAATACTCAAAAAGCATTTTTTTAATAAAGGAATATAAGTATTTTTATTCTCCAGCTAATAATTTAGCTTAATGAATAAGAAATTATATTGAAGATGAAAAACACTAACGTGATAACAGTTGTAAATACGTTGACTCATGTTTTAATTCATCTTGCCTGCGTTTCATAAAGGTCATGGCTTGTTTTAAAAGGAGTGCATGCATGGATGATTCTATTTCTTGGATGCTGATAATCTGAAATACATATATAAGTAACATTTTGTGGGTCATCAATAATAATAAAATGTATTATTTATGTATTAGCATGTATATATGAATTCTCATATAAAGAAACATTTTTATCAACTAAAAAAATGTGAGGAACAGATCTAGCTGCCAATACTGCCAATATTAATAAGACCAGAAAATCAACTTAGTATACCAAAACAACTACAAATATCATAATGAAACCAAATGGGCTGAAGTCAGGAACATGGATAAAAGTGGACAGATAAGATGGTACAGCCAAATTTTATAGGCTGAGGGAACAAAGTGTGTGTGTGT